CATTCCTGCAGATTTCTGGTGGATAGATGCTTTCTGAACATCCATTGATGGATGAGCCCAAATGGTCATATTTAAAGTTAATTTGCCTTCTTACAAGTTGCTGCATTTTATTGCCAGTAGTAGTGTTAAGGATTCTAATAGGATCTTCTGCTTGCACAGCCTGAGTTGATTAAGTGGTGCAACATGCTAATTTTTGAGGGCTGCTTAAATCACCAGTAAAAGTAGGTTAGGTGACTATAGATCACCTCCTCGTTGACAGGAATTCCCATGATTAATAATAGTTTTTAAAAAAGAAGCATGACTCACTATTTTTACCCCCGCTATTGTTACCAACTTGGAGCTGTGTTTTCTTCTAGAACACGAAAAGTAAGGGATTGGCTTTGGTATCACCATAGATACTCCTGGGTCGGCATTAAGTATTTCTAGCATGGAGATGTGCTAGAAAATGCAAGGTTTGGCCTTAACAGTTGTGAACTGATAAAGTAGGTGGAAGATGTGGAGCATAACAGGGCTGGAATTGGAGAAAAAGCATTAGGGAGATAATCAGCTTCACTGTCCGTTCCTGCTGTCTTCACTCCTACTAAACATTTTATTGTCTGACCAAGGTTCGGATGCAAAGCAAGGATTTGAATGCCAGTCGTACCTGGATAACTGTTACGACAGTTAAAATATTTCTAGATTGTCATTAATCTGCCATTTTCTTGTGGCCTCAAGTGTGATTTTAACATTTGTTTGGCACTGTATTGCCATCCTCTTGGGCAAACAACCAAAAGTAACTTTAATTTCAACCTAATTTTGTGGCTTCGTTGTTGTCTGACAGTTCCCGCTTCTTCTTTCTCATGGGTCCTACTAATAAATAAAGGTTAAAGGGCAGAATAGCAGTTCCAGAAGAGTGAACTCAAGCATTGTTTTAACTGTGCTGGAGGATTTCTAATAGCATTAAATCTTAGGGTTTCTGATTTGATTCGCTTCTTGGTCTTAGCTCTCCCTTTCTTTCTTAGAATCTCCAAAAAAATGAACTTGCAAAAAACCTCTGAGCACTTACTGTCTGTGAGGCTGTAATCACTTAATAAAACTAAACAAATCAATGCCTGAGGAGAAGCAGCCCATGTCTGTGGGAAAAATCTATCCTTTTGCTCATTTTGATATGATTATAAAATTACAGAGTTCTGAGAGCTAAACAAAAGAAGATATCACTGGAGGAAAGCAGTTAAAGTTTGGGGCTTTATATAGTTTCTTAGAACTAACAAATAAAGCAGTTCCTGGAAGGGATTCTGAAATTTGAGTGCAATATTCAGTGTTCTCTTGTTGTCAAGTAACCGAGATTAGTTCCTACATTTTCTTGTTAGAGCTGTGTGGGAAAATGACTTTTTCATTTGTGTAGAACTTTGATTTCAGAAACATTTCAAATTCAGGTGAACTAAATATTTACAGATAAATTACAGTCTTGTGATTATGTGAGGTCAAACACAGTTGGATCTCTTGTATTTCTGTGTACAGGTACGATTGGGCTTTTCTCCCCTAGTTTTTAATGCTGCAGATGAATGTCTTCACTGCCAGAATCTTGACAGCTCTCCTAAGAGCTTTTCCAATCTCTTGGAGCTTTTCTGCTCTCCAGAAATAATTATATTGAGGAAATGTTTTTGGACTACATTGTCAGTAAATGAGTGAGTGGTCTAACCACTTATGGATTTCTCTGACCTAATGAACACTACATTATTTGTAGAAAGGGGAGCAGCTTCTATTTGGCATGTTTAGAAAGCAACCCTTTGCAAAACAAACAGTATGGTATGAAAGTGTGTTATCTGGAACTTTAAAATTTATTCTTAAAGCTTCTTAAAGAAGAACATGCCAAACTATCCCAGCTTTCCAGGGACCACTGGGCTGCTGGCTGTTGGAAGGTGAATTTTCTTTAGAGTTTGGCTTGAAAAAATGTCTTTCTGTGAAATTATTAACTTCCAGCAAACTTGTTTATTTGACATTTAGCTTAAAAATTCTCGTCTTGTTTTTCTCTACATAACTTGAAAACTGTTTAGTGGCATAATTTTACATTGTTTTATTTTGTTCACTGTGTGATACTTGTTTTAGGTGCAAGAACTATAGGTTCCGTGTTCTCCATTTGCCTATTTCTTTTTTTCCTTTTAACATTTGATTCAAAGTGACATCTGTGAACAGTGTTCTTTGAAAGTTGGTTATATTTTTTTTCTTTTGTAGGGGGACATATTCATGTGTTGTTAACAGTTTTAAGTCTTTCCTCCTTTCATTTTGATTGCAAATACTATTATAAAGCTTGAATGAGCAGATTCGAGCCACTTAACCTCTTCAGAAATTTGAGTTGTGGGGATTTAGAAACTGGTTGGGAACTGTTAGAACTTGCATTTTTTTTCCAAACAGGTACTGTTAGAAATAATTAGAATTTATTTTTTTTTTAATAAGCAGTGTGAGTTAAACGTCTGAATTAAACCATTAAATACTTCTTTGATCACATAATCATCATAATAACTGGTAACAATTAGCAGGTTTCTATCCCTTAATGTTGCAAGTGGAATCTACATTCCAGTGAAACTAGTTAGTGCATGTATTCTTTGATTTAAGGGGAGCTGTAGAGTGTACTGTAGAGTGAATGCCGGTCTGAAATTTCAAGGTCTTTTGTCCTGTAGTAAAGGAAATCATATACTAACATGAAACTGCTTTCTCTGATGGTTTCTATGGGGCACTCAGCTGTAAGAGTGCAAGACCTGTGCTCAGTGCACTGGTTTGAACCAGCATCAGTACTGCTTTCAAGACAGGCTTTGTAGTAGCATTTGGACCTAGGCTGAGATCCTCAGAAATTGTTAGATATGCAAAGTTTATTTTGATTTTCAGTATTAAAGCATTGAAGTGCACCTCAGGATATGGATGCTGCTCTTGATCCTGCATTACTAAATTGTCCAGTGCATGGCATGCTAATACCTGCAGTCCAGTTACTACCAGTAGAGATGAAAGTTAGTCCTAAATGCCTTGGGAAATATTAATTTCCTGAACATGGTAGTTCTTGTTAATTAGCATGGTGTTTTCAGTGTGCCTTTTAATTTTTTGACATCTGTTATTTTATCTGTTGAGACAACATCGGTTTTCTGAATGGGGCTTTTTGTGGAAATGCTGCCTTTGATTGACTGATGTGGTAAAGGTAATTGAGCCGTGCTTGTTTTTAGAGACTTACCTGAAATTACCTGTATTTGCATTTTGCTCTTGCTTGTCCACAGAACCCTCAAAGTGATAATTGTTCACATGCCAGGATCATTTATGGGAATTGTTGACCTGCAAAATTCAAATTTTCTTGCTCACTTCCTTTTCATACATTAGGTCCTGTTACTGAAGTCAAAACAGACATATATGTCACCAGTTTTGGACCTGTTTCTGATGTAGAAATGGTATGTATTTCTGGGATAAAAATGCCATTTCCTCATACTGAGAAACCATTAACTGCAGTAAAGAGTGGATCCTTCATCCGTACTGTTTTGTCAATCATGCAAAGTAGACAAGATTAGTAACAGCTTAATTTACAGGTTATAATTAGCTACATCAGGCCTGATTTTGGTCACACTTACACTCTTTTTTGGCTGGCTTAAGGAATTAACTTCACAGGATTTAAGCTAGAGTTTCATGGTGTAGAAGCAGAATCAGGCCTTGCAGGGAGCATCTAAGCCTGTCTACTCTGGGGAAAACATGTAATACCTTTGAAATTGCCTTTCCTTTCTGAAACTTGCGTTATTCTCAGGTGAATAATAATGATATCTTTTCACAAATACTTGTTGACGTTTTCATTTCAGATGAATGTTCTTTGCCCATCTTAGTGCCCCTTTTAGCATTACTTTCAGCGAATATTTGACTCATAAGAGTTTTCTTAAGTGTCTGCAGAAACTGAACATCAAAGTGACGTGCATGAAATACTCAGAGAAGAGAAACATTACATTTGCACGTACTGTTATTTGTGCCTGAATGGCATCTGCATTCATTTGAGGTCAAATTCAGCATAACTCTCATAAACTTCTATAGTTCAGTTGGATACCCTTAAATCATAGCAACAGTTTATCTTTTTGTAAAATATTCAAGAAATCACATGGAAGTAACACAGCCATGTGTGCTGAACTACTTTAAGGGAAAGGCAGTTTCAGGGCAGTAACTTTCAACATACAGTGCTGTTGTGAGCTTTGTGGTGCACCTGATTTGGTTCTGTCATGTGGAAAGGTATGTGACAGCAAGATGTCTAGATTCATGATAGCAGTCTTGTGTTGAAATGCATCTTACTCCTTCAGTGTTTGTCATGTGCAGTGTGATGCTGTTCAGTGTGACAAGGGGCACAAGAACCTGGTCCCAAGGAAATCTAGTAATGTGTGCCTCAGAGCTAAAATGCAGTAAAAGTAAAAGTAGTAAAGGAACTGGCAAAAGGATAATTTTCAGCGGTTGTTTCCCTTTTCATGATTAGATATTAGTTGGGAAAGTAGTCAGGGATCCAGGAACTGGTTTTGGAACAATGTTTAGTTCATATATCAATTAGTGAATGACCCAGTGTAAGCTGAATGTGGCACCATTCCTAAAACTCACTGAAACAGGAAAGTGTCATATAGTCTAAGTACAGTGAAGGATGAGAATGTCTTTTTAGAGCTGTGTTACTTCCATAACAATGTAAAGAAAGCATTGAAATCGTAATATTACAAAATCTGTCACATAGAAGCTAATAATAGAAACTGCTACTTATGAGCTATGATGTCACCAGCAAGAAATGGCACTAGAAAAGAATCTTTTCATAGATTAACTGTAAACCACAGTGGAGAATGCAGCCGTCACTCTAAGATGCATTACACAGAACACATGACTCCTTGCCCATGCAAATAAATACGGCCATACGATTAAATGGTAAAATTATGCAGAAGAATTTGAAATAAAGGAAACATTTTTTGGCCTAACAACAAAATCACAACTGTATGTTAGAAAGGACTCGAAGCTTTCTGTGTTATCTTTTTCAATGTACATGATGCTTTTTTGTGAAATGCTTCAGCTTCCCATGATAAGAAATGCATTCCTTCATCCATTAATTCACATGATTTCTCATTATGTGCCTGTGCCTGTGCCTGCAGTTCTGAGGTTATTGTTTGGTGTTTTCTTTGAGCATTTGAATGGCTTTTCTGAGGAAGTTAATGGATAATTATGTAGTTAAAATCAGATGTGTCTATATGCAAGTCTATATATAATGTATTATCCATGTTTTGTGGGCATGGCAAAGGAAATATTTAGCTTTCCTCAGTTAAAAGCTTACTTTCCATGAGTTGAAATAAACATTTCCTTCATGACTTTAAAGTGTAAGTAATTGTTTATCCTGGTATTTTTGTCATCAGCAGAAAATCCATGGATATATTTTCTTAAAAACTTTGTTGACACTTATTGTCAGAGATTATTTTGTTTCCACTTCTATGCTTGACTACAAATTCAATTGCTTGCTTTCTGCCAGCTAATTAGATTAATTATTCCTTAAGGATTAAATATGTGTAGCAATTAATTTATATGATTAATGTGGGAAATTAAGCTATTAAGAAGTACACAACACCCTTTAATTGGTGGAAATATGTGTAGTGAATTTAGGATTTTCTTTACTACTGGTTTCTTTGCTTCCAAAGGGTTTCTTTCTTTACAGGAAACACTTACACATGCAAGTGTGATCTTTGTTTTTCTGCAATCTAAACAGGAATATACAATGGATGTCTTCTTCCGTCAGACATGGGTAGACAAAAGATTAAAGTATGATGGCCCTATTGAAATTTTAAGACTAAACAACTTGATGGTTTCAAAGGTGTGGACTCCTGACACTTTCTTCAGGAATGGGAAAAAGTCTGTTGCACATAATATGACAGCCCCAAATAAACTCTTTAGAATAATGAGAAATGGCACCATCCTGTACACAATGAGGTATCTAACATGTTTGTTCAGCTACTTAAAATTACTGTATGCAAAAGTTGTACTGCCTAGACAAAATGGCAACCAGAGACTATTTAATTTGTTCCATTATAGGCTTACAATAAGTGCAGAGTGTCCCATGAGATTAGTGGATTTTCCCATGGATGGTCATGCTTGTCCTCTCAAATTTGGGAGTTGTAAGTTGCAATTATGAAATTTCTTGTCACTACAGAATTTAAATAGTAGAAGTAGATTTTGAGCAATTGCTAAAATTTCTTTGTATTAGTCTTGATATGCAATCCTTATGCAGACAAAACTCCTGTTAAGTTCCTTGAGAGTTTTCTTTAAGTCCTCAAAAATTAAACCCAGGCAGAGAATTGAAAAGCAGGCAGTGATTCAGCCATTAAGTTAAACCCCACTATTCTGGCTACAGTTGCTTGAAATACATAGTTTTGCTTTGCTCTTAGGGAGGAATTGGATACTTAGTGATGTGAGAGATTCTCTGGAGAAGACAGAGAGGATGGGATCCATCTCAACTTTCAGCAGCCAGGTAAAAGGCAGTTAGGGAAGCAGGTTATTTGACTTTCTCTACAATTAGTGGAAGGCATATTGACAACCCGAGATAAATGTGCAGGTTATGTGCAGAGGTGTGATCTTTAGGTGTATTTGGCTGTCTCCTGGCTCTCATTCTAGAATGAGAGTCTGCATGACAAGTTGAGACTAGATAAATAATTTTTAGACTGGTGAGATGACTTTTAGTGCAGGTGACCTGCCTATTCTACTTTGGCTAGAACATTTTGGGGCATACTCCAAAATAACCAAGCGAGATAGTTTTATTTACCTGGTTTGAATCCACAGCTGAGACCTCTAAGACTATCTGGCGTTGGTTAGTGAACTGTATTTAGTACCTTGTCACTCTTCTAAGCCTTCTTAGTCACTGACTTCACTGCTTTACACTCCAGTGTAGTCACTGGCTGGACATTAATCTGTTTTCCTTGACTCCTGATCTCTGAAGCTAGAAATGGCTGGAAGCTCCTCATAGTCTTAGCATAAAATTTAGCTTATACAGGTGGCTAGTCAGCCAAAAGGGGGTATTAAAAACATTGCTCTTATAAGGTTTTTCATCCCTCTTACAGTGAGGCTGGAGACCAGATGCTGCCAAAATTGTTTTTTATATCAGCTGTTCGATAGGGGAGCTTCCATAGTGGGGACTTCTCCACAGGCACATTTCTTCAGGCAGAATCACCAGCCAGCAGAAGTTGTGCTTGACACTAACCTGACACTCTCCTCAGTGAAATTTGGCATAAGATGTATCCATTTCAAATGCAAGACTGATTTAATTTGATTTTAACAGGAGTTTGGGCTGTGTATGGATTGAATACTAGCCCTGTCTTTTCTATTAACTGTAAAATGTTTTTTGGGGTGTACTTATTTTTGGGCTATTGTGAATTGTGTACTGACCTCTAGTTTCTGGCAAATATTTTAAACACAAGTTTAAAATATTGTAGTTTTTAGTATAGTCATTCTCTCCTGCAAAATATGTGCATGGTCTTCGAAATGTATCCCCCTTATATATGCTCTTTTTTGTGCATTAATGTATGTTAATGATATTATTTTAGATAGAAGTTTCTAAAATAATTTAAAGACAACCTTTACATGCCCAATAAGGGCTGTTGCGGAAAGATCTTGTTTTAAGACTTAACATTCAAATGCAAAGTGAATTTGTATGTGACACTTGACATATGACCTTAGCTGCTATTTATATTCTTTTGTGAGGATTGCTTTTGAGGGTAACTTAGCATGTAGGGTACATTCTAAAGTTGTCTGAGTCTTGCCATTTGATTTTGGTAGGATTGGATTGGGCTTGTAGTCAGGAATGAAAAGTAGTTTCCTATGTATGAAAACTGATTCTGTGTTGTAGATGCTTATCCAAAGAGTGAAATGATTTATACCTGGACAAAAGGACCTGAGAAGTCAGTGGAAGTTCCTGAGGAGTCTTCCAGTTTAGTTCAGTATGACCTGCTTGGGCATACAGTGTCCACTGAAACCATTAAATCTATTACAGGTAGGAATGTCATCAGTTAAAGTCATCTTGAGGTAAAACTGAACCTGTAACATTGCCTGAGGCTTTTTTCTTTCCTTCCTGTACAGTATTTTACTGAATGTCATAAGGTATGTATTAAGGGCTGAGAGCGTAAATCTGAATTAGGTTTTTGTCCTTCAGATTTACGTTTGCAGATTCATTGCAGTTGATTGCAATGGTCTTTCAGTAAGCTAGAATGAGATCATTACTCTGAGGGACAAAATGAGCATTTAATCACTGCTTAAAATGCAGTTTGAAGAGTCAAGAGGATGCCTGGGTGAGGAAGTAATTTCTCAGCACTGTATCCACATTATGTGCAAAAGACTTCCTTTGTTTGGCAGTGCAAACAGCTCAGGGTAGAAGTACAGCATACAGAATGGGTTATTAAAGCCATAAAAACCCTCTAGTCAGATAAGGAGAGGCACAAATGCGTTAGTCACAATAGCTACTTCTGCTGATTTGTGCTGTAAGAAATATGGCAAATGGCAACTACACGCATCTGAAATGAGTGAAGTATCAGTGATGAGCAGTGTGATGATAAACAAGCATATTCCCAAAATATTTTTAACATTTGGAGTAATTTTCTGAGCATCAGCAAGTTTGGGTGAAATGGTCAAAATGAAACAGATAAAGTAAATATATTTGATGTATTGATCTGTGAATATTTTTCTCAGAGAGAAAACAGCCTTTGGCAGTACACTAGAAATACATTTCTCAACATGTTGGTTATCATGAGTTAGCAACAGAATTTCCTTACTATCCCCAAAATGCTTATTCTGTAGTGATTTTTTTAGTCAGCTTATTCAGTTTATGGCAAAGCTCGAATCATGTTGTTTTTGTTTAATATGAATGATACAATGTTAGATTAGCTTACAATATTTTTAATTCTTGTCAGTGTTTCATTATCACGATGGTGCTGATGTAAACCTAGTAAAAAGCTGAGATACTTCCATGTAAATGAATGTGCATTGTTGTTTTATTTGGCAGGTAGGTACCACAATGTTCTACTTGCTATGGTAGGTAGATAGCTTTTACCTTGGAATCCTCTCCTTCAATACATGCCAGAAGAATTTTTAAAGTCATGTGTATGCTGCAAAAAGTGATCCAGTAGTAGCTGTACATTTATAGTACTTTTGATAGCAGCTTCTGAATGGCACTGTTAAAATTCTACTACTACCAGAATTTTTGTTTAAAACTTTGTTTCATTCTTGTCTCTAAGGAACATGTCTTTTTATGCACATTAAGTGGTATGAATAGCATCGACAATCCTAGTTGATAGTCTGAAAGAGTTTTTCTGCAACACGAAGATTTTATGCACAACCAGAAATGTTGTTGTTGTTTTTTTTTTTTTTCAGGTGAATATATTGTTATGACAGTTTACTTCCACCTCAGACGGAAAATGGGTTATTTTATGATTCAGACCTATATCCCATGCATTATGACTGTGATCCTTTCTCAAGTTTCGTTTTGGATAAATAAGGAGTCTGTTCCAGCTAGAACTGTGTTTGGTAATTATTTCTTTTTTACTGTTTCTCCTAGTTCCTCTTTTATTGACTAGCATGAGAATAGGCCATCTTAGCACATGGGGTATACTGCCTCTATGCTAGTGCAGGAACAAGGGAATAATGTAAATCTGTGGAATTTTTACTGTCTGTGTTATGAAGAATGTGCTATGTGAATCCTTGCAATCTCAAGAAAAGCTTGCAATATTTAACCAGAAGGGTGGCATAGTTGCCTGTGGCACATGGGTGTACATTTGTGGGTATTCTACCCGCTTGAGGGAGCAAATTGGGAAGACCTGGCCCTGAGCAATACAGTCAAGTCCCCTCCAGTGAACAGTAGTGAAATTACTTGAACTCACACCTTCTGAAATTCTTTTAAAATAATTTAGGAATGTGTGAGATGTACAGGTATCTTCTTATAAGATATCTGTGATGTCTGTGGAACTCGCAAAGAGTAACGCTAAGATCCTGTTTCCGTAATTTCGTGTTTAATGCTCTTCTCTCCGTTCTGCTATTGCCATTATGAAAATGAATTTAAAAAGCAAAATGATGGTCAGATACTGAAATTATCCTCATCGAATACAGCTTGAAAGATACTGCTATGAAAATGAAAACAAAAAAAACACCTATGGAAGACAAAGCATGAGAAATTAAATGGAAATATGATTCCTAACAAGTATGATAAAAACATTTTAAAAACCCCAGTCTTTATAGAGCAATGTCTTGACTTCATAATGTGTAAAGCAGAACTAATCAGGAAGAGAATGTTCTAGAAAATGCCGTTCTGTAGATAGATAGATAGAGGTAAGAGTAGTAGGAATTCATGTTTCTATGTGACTGCCCATTCAGTCATATAAGTAGAGTTTAGGATACTGTTCAGTATCACAAATTAAACAAGTTTAATGATATGTTGTAGGAAAACTAACCTGTAATCATAATAAGAACCCCAGTAGCTATCAACTCAAGCAGTACAATAGGCAGGCTAGTATATCACTTCATGTGCCTTTGCAATGATGTTTAATAATGGTACTTTTTTTGAAGGGGGTTTTGCCATGAACTGAAAAGGTGGAATCTGTATCTACAGGCAAAATGTGATAATTGCAAATGTACAAATTAGAGAGCAACAGGTGTAATTATGTGTAATTCTACCCAAAGATGAGAGTGAAAACAAGTAATAGCAAAGTTTAGACATGCACTAAGTTACAGGTAAGTCTCTAAAACACCTTTGAAAACAAGTGGCTTAAAGTATGGGTAGAAAGTCTTTTTAGTTTTCTGACAAATGTCAAAAGGGGTCCTTTTTTCTAAAGGTTTTCCTAACAGACAATAGAAAAGTTACAGGCAGGAGACAGAAATGAAACCAGAATACCTGCTTTGGTAACACCTTTCTAGAGGAACTGTCAGAAGAGGCTAACCAAAAGATCTTTCCATTGGACACTGCATGATTAGGAACACTTGGCAAAGGTAACAGAATGGATACGCAAGGTACTAAAGCACATCAGGTTGTGATTTCTGCAGTTAGTTTCAGAGACTTGAATCTGATGATTGTGGGAGTTTGGTGTGTCTTAGAGGAAAGAGAGCAGTAATTTTCTAACAGGTTTATAAAATTAATTTCTATATTTAAATACTTTGAAGATATTTGTATACAGTTACGTACCTTTCTAATCAGATGGTTGCAAGTATTTAGCTCTGGGTAGTTATGGTTCATGCACAATGTCCTCACAAGGACAATTCCGACAAACTGTTAGCTTGAAGTGGACAAAGGCAGAATCAGGAATGATAGGGCTTAGCAGGGATGGGTCTCTTCCAGGAAAAAAATAACTTCCCATAATTTTTTTTTCCTCAGACTTACACGTTTTCAGTGGTGTATTTTCTCAACATCTTCCCACTGCAGAAGGTTTTGTGAGCTTGCATGTGTGTTTTTATCCTGCTGAGTTCGCTCTGAGATATTCTTTGTGCTTTCATGAACTGCTATTAGTCTTTTTTCATTTTTCTTTAATAGGAACTTTTTTTCATTGTGTCCTCTTCTCTGATGGCAGTGTCTAGATGAAGCTTTTTTGTATTAAATTGCCAGATAGGGGAGCACAATTTAGGGAATAAGGGATGTGAGGATCCTGTTGGAAAACAGACTTTTAAATTACTTTGGATTCTTCTCAGCGTATGCATTTCATCTTGAATCCCATCAGACATCTCCATTTGTAGGCAGTCTTCCTTTAGGTTATCATGGTAGGACTTAAATAGTGCGTACTATATACTCAGTATATTTGCATGATATAGGATATTTTGGATGAAAAAAAACAAAACTAAACCCGTGCCTTGTTTTTATACAGCATGTATTTGCATTTGAAGTAGTACGATGAAGTGGTCATATTTTGAGTTCAGTGTTCATGCTTGTACACTTTAATTAAGAAGTTGTTCTTTCAGAAGATGAGATTCTTATTAAATTTCATTTGTTGACTAGTAGCAGAAGGGTTTACAAGACAAGGTGTTGGTTTGATAATTAACAGAATTGTTAACATAATATTCTAGTTCTCCTAAGCACCAAAATAATTTGCTATGACTTAACAGAACCTGGATTATGAGTGAGATCAGAGTAATAAATGACATTCTGAACCCATTACAGGAAAAATAATATTTTTGTTAGAGTCTAAGGAGTACTCCCCCATTAAAAAACCTATGTTAAAATGTTTAGAGAATAACTTGTAAGAAATGCTGTTGAACTTGACATGAAAAAATTATTAAATGGAGGCTTCCATGTTTTCTTCATGTGGACTGTAGGTGATCTATCTGTTGCTGTCGTAGCTTCCCATGACTCCTTTAAAAACTGGTTAACTGTTTTGTGCTCATCAATATGTAATGGTTACTATTACTTAAATCTAATGCACTATTCACAAGCAGCAGAGAAAGACTCCTATATGATTTAAAAGTCTTTGAAACTGCTTGCCTAATCTCATTCTGATTTACTCAGATTCAGTTGTGCTTTTGCTTTGTTTCTTTGAAGGAATAACCACAGTGTTGACAATGACGACACTGAGCATCAGTGCAAGACATTCACTGCCAAAAGTATCCTATGCTACTGCCATGGACTGGTTCATAGCGGTCTGCTTTGCCTTTGTGTTCTCTGCTCTCATTGAGTTTGCTGCTGTCAACTATTTTACTAATATTCAAATGGAAAAAGCCAAAAGGAAGACAGTAAAATCCCTCCTTGAATTTCCAGTTGCTCCAGTACAAAGAGAAAGAAGTACAGAAGAGACAGTCACGGTATGTATTCAGCTTATACACATATTTTCCATGGTTGTGGTAGTGTTCTCAGTAAAAACAGGCCTCTTAACTTCCTCCCAGGTTCCCTCTGACCTAACGCAGTGTAAGTCAGCATAAAGGAAGACTAATGCTACACCATATTCAATGATAAAACCTGTAAAACACTGTTAAATTAATCCTTGCATTATGACGTTAACTTGGGGGAGAGGAGGAGATTGTGTCCCTTTAGCTGCATTATGAGGAAATAATTTAGCTTAATTTAGAAAATTAACTTTCTCTGTGCATATTGATTCCGATTGGACTGATTATACAGATCTTGGCATTACAGATTATAAGGAGGGAATGTTTTTTTCATGTGGCTAATGTCTTTAATGAATCAAAATATACCATTGTATGTTGAAGCATTTTCATAGACATTGCAGTTCTCTTTTCATCGCATGTATCACCTGTCTGTAGTTTTATTTCTTCTTTTGTTACAATTTCAGAAATATTTGAAGAATGCTGGATGAAACCTTTATGTCCACCATAGATTTAATTTTGCGTAATTTATCTGTCTTTGTACAGGAGCTCACCTCAACTCCTGAACAGGTTTTGGAGTTCTGCTTAATAAAACACTTTCCAGCTTTCATAGTGCTTCAGATTAAGCATGACTTGGGTGGTAGCTGTCTTAGTTAATAAAGACTCAGTCTCATTTCCTTTTGAGCTCACCAGTGATTCTTCTTTTTTCCCTTTTCCCATTCCCATATGGTTAATACTCTTGCATTGCTTCTCCTATTCATGAGACACCAGGCTGACAAAGCCCATTACAGCACTTGGTCCAGCCATGTGGTAGGTCAGTAATTCCCAGCCATGGCTGACTCTCTTGGCAACGGCACTTGAGAAGTAAGACACTGACAGCAGCATTGTAATTTACTCTTTCTGTCAGGCTGACTTCCTAATTTCCCTTGGCTGAGCTGTGATTTAAGAACCACTGATTTAGACTAACTCTGGTAATTCTGTCTTCTGTCTCTTTTCACGTCTTGTTTGTCTCCTCATCTATTCATCTGCTCTTTTTTTGCCTCCCGAGCCTTTCCATCTGATACTGCTACTCAGCTGCTGTCCACCCACTTCCATTTTTCTTCCTCCTCTTTGCTCTCCTACTATAGGTTATTACTGTTTTCAGTCTCCTGGCTGTGTTGTTTAGTTATCTCCCATTTGTGCTTAAAAGGATGGATGCGCTCCTGAAGTGTTTGTTACACATGTCACTCCATTGGCCAATAGCAAGAGACAGGAGCAATGAAAAGTCTGTTTATAGTAGTGTGTAGGTTGCTTTGTGCCTTAGAGGTATTGGTGGTATTAGTTTGTGCTGAGCTTCTCGATTGTACAACATGCATTTTAGTATAGTATTTTGGGCACTCCTGAGGTGCGTTAGTAAATACTGCTTTTGGTGATAGTCAGCTTTTGCATGGGTCCATAGAAAAATAAATTACATAAGAACATTTTCATCCTAGGTTTATTTCTAAGATTTGATTAAAACAAAAGGAAAAATAATAGTTTTCTCAGGTAGCAAGAACAGAGGGTTAATACAACTGTTTTGATTCATGGTCAGAATTGCTGTAAGTCAGCTTTGCATCATGCTTAGCCACGTACACACATGTTTTTGAGAAACCTCTTTTTTTTTTTTTTGTCTTTTTTTTAAACAGCAGAACACACACAGCTTCACTGAACTCAAAAGCCAGATAAAACAAGATGTGAACAGTTTTATTCCACTGCTAAATTAATACTTCTGTGATAAATGTGATAATGTGCTTACAGGTTTGAGGATCTTGTAAGCACTCAAGGGAGCAATCATTTTTTTGAAAACCCTTTTTTTTTTTTTTGTCTTTTTTTTAAACAGCAGAACACACACAGCTTCACTGAACTCAAAAGCCAGATAAAACAAGATGTGAACAGTTTTATTCCACTGCTAAATTAATACTTCTGTGATAAATGTGATAATGTGCTTACAGGTTTGAGGATCTTGTAAGCACTCAAGGGAGCAATCTACTTATTTTTGAAGGGTTACATGTTAATGTTACGAGTATGTAAGTGAGTGATAATGTTGACTGTACCTTGACCTGTTTTTTTTTTTAATGGCTTTTTCTCCAGTTCTGCCTATTAAGACTCTTTGATATTCCAGCACAGGTGTACAAGGTTGAGCCCACAGATGCCATTATAAAAGCTTTGTTGTCACGTAGTCTTTTCCATGACTAGAGAATGACTTGTGTCCTGGTCTCCCACTGTACAGTACTGGGGCTAATCTGGCTGTCCTAATTTATAGTGATACAGCTGTTAGACTGTGCTTTCCAAGCTGACATGCAATATAGTCCTTCTTCTTAAAATGTCTAGTTTTGCTTAGAAAAGGCTAATCTAGAGTTTTATTATGCCTTATTATGACTTTGACTTTTTTCTGCACGTACTCTGTCTAATCAGTGCTGATCTACCAGAGATAACAGAATTTAAGCATCTCTGTGAGTAATACTATACTTTTAAATGAGGATTTTGTTTTATAAGATGTTGGTTCTGCATTATTCACTGGATAGTTATGTACATATGTTATGTACAGATTAATACTAGAAATTAGGCATTTAATAGCAAAGTTTGGTAAAATAAAGATAAATTGCACGTAGTTGGAAGTTTCTTTTTGACATGCATGTGTCTGACCGATTTCTGACAGTAGAATTAAAATGATTTTTCTATATTGAATCAGTTGATATATTACTCACACTAATCAGAATTCTTGGTGGTGGGTTGTTTTTTTCTTTTCAGTCAAAAACACTTTTCTGGTTGTCTTGGATCAAAGGCAACTCACATCATTAAGATCACATGCTTTTGGATGTGTTGATTCATGTTATGTATTTCTTTGGCACAGCCAATACATCTTTACTGTAGCAAATATGGACTATATGCTTTTCTAAGTTATTTTCTTGTGTAATTATATACTTTTTTGAAGCTACACGATGGGTGTGACTGATCAATGTATTGATTGCAGTAAGTGTTAAATGAATTTTGGAGACTAGCTAAGTAAATTGAACTGTGTTAATTCAAAAAACCAGTCCTGGTGTCAAGCTAATTTCCTGGGCTGGGGGTGGCAGGAGTAAGCCTACAGTGCCTGCAGCTGCACGGTGTGCTCCTCTGTAACTTCATTTTGTTTTAGTTGGTATTTATTCAACCTCTGCCCCCTCCCTGCCTCATTTCAACTATTTCTTCTTGTTGCCTGTAACTTTCTGATACAAACAATGTATTTCCATAAAGAGGAGTGCACTTCTGCAGCAGATAGTACATGAGTAGGACCCCAGCTTGTTTGGCATGTGCCTTGAGTTCACAAAGGGCTTGGGAAGCCTCACTCATCCCTTCTGTCAGGCACAGTGGGATAGTACTGGAGTCTAAGGCAAGACAGTTGACTTACATCATGGTCTCCTGTGATATACTTTGTCTTGGGAGCAAGTTCAAATACTTTCAGGTTAGAACGAATGAAAGTGTCCTTAAACGTTCTGAACTCCTTTCTTCAGTAAAAGCAGAAGTGTTGTTACAAGCCAGGATGTGATGGAAATGAATGATTTATAGTTTGTTTTTGGGCTCCTGGTCTATTTTTATGCTTCTGAACTATTTCCTTTTCACTGTATTCCTACGAAGTTTATTTTTAAAGATCTACCCAATTTTGAAGATTCTCCTGAAAAACAGTCTTTAGCATGAGCTTCAATATCGGCTGTTTGTTAAAAGAATGTGAAACTTGAAAAAACAGGTCAAGCTCAAACAAAGCTTTTTAATGAAATAATTTGTTCTAACTCAGTTGCAAATAGATGGTAACTCCTGACGCCAGTTCTGGGCTCCCCAGTTCAAGAGGGACAGGGATCTACTTGAGAGAGGCTAGGAGGATGATTAAGGGACTGGAACACCTGTCTTACGAGGAAAGGCTGAGAGACCTGGGGCTTTTCAGTCTAGAAGGGAGAAGACTGAGAGGGGATCTAATTAATGTATGTAAGTATATGAGGGCTGTGCATCTTTTTACTTGTGCCCTGCACTGAAGTGCTGTATTAAAAAATTTGGTCTTTTTCCAAGATAATGGTGTTGCTCTACCTTTAACATGGTTGAGTTGTGGGACAAATTTACACTGGAAGTAGAAACTTTTGTCTACTGCAAATTGGTAGAGTAATTACTGAATGTATGTGGTGTAGTATTAGGTTTGGGGCTGGATTCTGACCCAACTTAACTGTGATGTATACTCCATTTAATTCCAGAATTCAGTTATAATGAAGGTAAAAAATGGCTGGTTGTTGCTAAAATGAACAGAACTGTTGGAATTTGAAGTTGGGGAATGTTTTTTTTCTTATATAGTGGAAAAGGTTTTTTTGTTTGGTTGTTTGTTGTGTGTTTTGTTTTGGGTTTTGTTTGGGTTTTTTTGTTGTTGTTTTGTTTTTTTGTGGGGTTGTTTTTTTCTTTTTGTATATGCAGGGAAGAGCAGGAGTTTACTTTCAGCACCAATGCCATCTCCTGCAACCTTTACTAGGGTAATTGCTCACTCTTCAATTTTCCATAAGTGTTATCATGAACTAGCAGAGTAGTAGGCAAGTGAATATGAGGGATGTGTTTGGCTGTTATTAATCTGATTCTCAAATACCTGACAGTGTTCACTGCAGTTACTGGAAAACTTACTTTAAATGGCATTAGGATAAGGCTTTTCTTTTGGAAATGAAAGCATAGCTCAGTAATGCCAATCTTTCTAGAAGATGCTATACCCCATCGTTTTTAATTTTTAAAATACACTTAAGTGGCTTTCTCTGTCATTGTGCTGATCTACTGAAAAGAGATACTCCTTGTGTTTTCCTTATTTGAATAATCAATACAACCCTATTTAGCATGAAAGTAATGTACATTACTAATGTCAGTTGCAGGCATTAAGCATGGACTTGTTTTTGTTGTTTGTTTTTTTTTCTTTTGTTTTTTTTGTTTTGTTTTTTTTGGCAAGCAACTATGAAGTA